CATGAACTAGAGAAGCTCTGTGTTTCATACTTTGCCATCCCTAGCACACACGGCTTTACTATCATGCCTGTTACACACGCGAAGCTGTCCTTGTTTATCCTATGGTTCCAGAATCTACCACAATTTCAGTTGTCCACTGCAAGCAGTGTCCTCTCAGGCCCTCTCTGAGGGTGTTTAAAATCTGTTACAGAGTCACCAGCTTTCCATGAGTCCTTCAATCTTTGATTGTCAGTCAAGACACCAAGGGAGAAAAATCCCAGCAAACTCCAAAACAGTCTGGGTTCTAGCTAGATAGAAAGCAAGGGTAGTTACTATTCCTTCACCCTACTATATGTTGATTCTACTATTAACTTTAATCATACTGTATTCAAAGTTGGGAGCCATAGAATGACAGATGTTGGTCCTTATTATATAATCCATTTCCAATACCATGAACTGGAATGGTGCTATCACTTCTGGAAGGGGAAAGAGTCTTCTCATCTCAATGAACTTAATATACAAGCGAGTCTCTCATAAACATACAGCAGATAATATAATGATTTAGATAAGCCCTCACAGTTGTGTCTGGAGAAGTGTCCCTTGACTGAATCTAGATCTAATCAAGTTGAAAATCAATATCAACCACCACCAAAATTGATATAATTTTCTGTGTAGACAGAGAAAACCTTCCTAATTTAGTGATATCTCAAATACCAGTGAGCCATGTTTGATGACAAAAATATAAAACCTTTTGAGTATGGATTTACTTCCTTCCCTAAGGTAAGCAGCAATTTCTGAGGATTACAAGGGCAGAATTGTTAGAGTAAGGCATAGTGCAGAAGTGTTCTGACCCATGTTTTTAACCTTATTAAATCAGAATCCCAGCCAAGTCTAAGCAGGAACTGACCTATGATCTTGTTACTAAAGAGAAGGAGAAAAGGAGAAAGAGAGACAGAGACAAACAGATGTAGAGAGTGATACATACACAGAAACACACACACACACACACAGAGAGAGAGAGAGAGAGAGAGAGAGAGAGAGAGAGAGAGAGAGAGAGAGAGATTGAGAGAGAGGACTCCCTAAGAACCCAGTGAAATGTAACTTACAAACTCACCAAAACTGTCACATGTCTTTGTATCAATTCTTAAGTGTGGTTCCCCCTCATAAAATCACATTTCACCAAAATTCTTTCTTTGTAATAATATGTGTAGTAAATCCATGATAAGAATTTCTTTTTATTGAGGTGTTTTCACGTGAGGCAGAACAGGTGATCTCTGTAAGTTGCAGGCCAGGTCTATCTACTACATAATGAATTTCAAGCCAGACAGGGTTAGAAAGAGACTGTGTCTCAAAACAGACTCACTCCAAAAACTTCTACTTAATAAACTTTTGAACTGTGAAAATGGTTTGACAGATAAAGTACTCACCTTTCAACTATCCCTTTACTTTTGCATTCTAAAGACAGTTGCTACAGTACATGCCTATTGTCCAATGCTTTTGATGACAGATAAAATGCAAACAGAAGAAATCCTGCCAAGTTTATTTATGCGGCATGGCAACCTAGAGACCCTGTCTCAAATATGCTAACTATAAAAGACAAACACTCAAAAGTGTTCTCTGATATTTACACCCAAATCGTGACACACATGCACAATTTCCACACATAAAGAATCACATATGGCTGGGCGGTGGTGGCGCACGCCTTTAAACCCAGCACTCGTGAGGCAGAGGCAGGCAGATCTCTGTGAGTTCAAGACCAGTCTGGTCTACAAGAGCTAGTTCCAGGACAGCCTCCAAAGCCACAGAGAAACCCTGCCTCGAAAAAAAAAAAAATCCAAAGCCAATGTATTAATCATATCAATCACTTAAGCAGCAAAGACTCTGTCAAGGCCCAAAAATTATCGATTAAAAAGTATTGGGGTCCTCACAGAAACAGCTGGCCTGTACAAAGTGGAGCACATGGACCCCAGACTGCTGTCTGGGAGGCCAGTACAGGACTGATCCAGACCCCTGAACATGGATGTCAATTAGGAGGCCTCTAGCGGGCCCCTGGTAGTGGATTAGTATTTTTCCCTGGTGTAAGACGGGATTTTGAAAGCCCATCCCACGTGAAGGGATGCACTCTCATCCTGGACACATGGGGAAGGGACTAGGCCTGGCCAGGATGATGTGGTGGACTTTGGGGAGCCCCCGTAGAGGGCCCTACCCTGATGCAAGCTTCTTCCTAATTTGAACTAATAAAAATTTTTTTAAAAAAGTATTGGGGTCCAAACCTCTGCTCCATTTTCCTTGTTGTTTCAAGTAAATGCAGCCCCACTGATGCTCAACTACAAAACAGCATAGAAAAATAATTTAAAATCGGCTTCCATGGATAATGACACAAAACATGGATTCTACCCTATCTACCTGCCCAATACCATGTACACTTAAGAAGTTTCTGCACTTCAGAAACTCCTTTTGTTCCCTAGAACTAGACTTCACTGAATCACACCATTGTGTTTAGTTGCAGCACCAAGTTACAAGCTTTCTAATCATTATTGGTGAAAGACGATCCACATCACCATTTTTCTACAAGTTCCTAAACTATCTGCAATATTTATAATACTTGAAACTTGAAAATGGAATGTAATATTCACAACTTCTAGAAACAAGACCTTCAGTTTTCTAATCTGTCTTCCCACTGCAACCAAAAGCAGTGCCCATATGTGACAATGATACTGGTCCCATGCCAGGGCTGTAGAGTCTCCCATTACCCAGTAAAACCATACTGAGAGGAACGGAGGACAAAGGCCACTGCCCAGGTCACCACATGGACCAACATAACTATAGTCTGAGTCATGGTCCACCCAAGTCCTAACAGAATTAAAAGCTCACTGGGTGGTGGTGGTACATGCCTTTAATTCCAGCACTTGGGAGGCTGAGGCAGTCAGATCTCAGTGAGTTTGAGACCAGCCTGGTCTACATAGTGAGTTCTAAGACAGTCACGACTGTTACACAGAGAAACCCTGTCTTGAAAAACAACAATAGCTAACTAAATAAATAAATGAAATGATAGCTCAACAGACCTGCTCTGAACACCATACACTTACCATGGTATAACTTGTGGTCTTTCTTACAACTCATTTCAGGAAAGGCAGAAGAGAACCATGGAAAGAATACACAAATTACCTGCCACTAGTACTCCTGATTGCTAAGCCTCCCCATAACAGCACATTGGCTAGGGCCACCCAGTTAGGACTCATATTAGCAGCTTCCCTACTGGGTAATCAGAGATCAAATGACTCAGACAGCACAGTCCTTCCAGCTCTGACCTTACATACATACAGCACAGTAGACAGCGCCCTAGTCTAGAAACTTTGTGTTTTAGTAGACATTCCTCCTCGCATAGAACCCATCCTGTTCCTCATCCAAAGCACAGGGTCCTTCGTGTGCACAGTCCATTACACACTCAATGTCTAATGCAGCAAACCCATTGCCTCAGAGCTGGGAAATCCTGCAACCAAACACAGGCCACATTCACACACTAACTGTTGTCACTGTATAACTGAGTTAAAGAAAAACAGGCCATAAATGAGAAAACAATGGGGTAGGAGGGCTTGGAGGCAGAAAAAACAATGTGAATATTATGCTTTTATAATCTCACAAATTACTTTGAAAAGCTGAAACATGCTTTATGGCCATGTGTTCCAGAGACTAGAGACTTGTATTAGAGCACATTAAAGAGGTCACACACCATAATCCAGAAAAATACCAGTCCTTAGAAGTGGATACTAGCAGTTAAATAAAATACAATCACACAGCAAGGATATTCCTAAAATAATTTCTTAAGTACACCATTGACCTGAAACAACAGGTCATTCTTCAGGGACAGGGTCCTGAGGTGAAGGTCATAGGGGCTATGAATGATAGGACAAGTAGAAAGCAGGAAAGATAAATGCTAGGTTGGGGAGATATTGCAAAGGATATGCCCCAGACTAACTAAGCTTGAGAAGAATGGTATCTTGTACACTACTTAAATGGGGTGGGAGAATGGAAGGAAATGGGAGAATTATATGAAGTCATCAAAAACTATAATATAATGGGAGAAATTCAGGAGGAGGTTAGTCAAACAATGCCACACAAGATAAACAGAATATCTCAAGAACATTACTGACTAAAGACACAGTAGCCTTAAGACATACAATAGCTCCATATGGTGGAAAGAGCTGACTTCTCAGGATGTGAAGCAACCCTTCCAAAAGTCCCCGGCCCCAGACCATTACCAGCTCTCCCAAACATACTGCAGGTTTTAGAGAAGGAGCTCAGTTTTATTATCAATTCTTTAGGCCCTTAGGGAAAGCCCTAGGTACCAGGCAGTTACTAACTGGAAAAACTAGGCCTCTCTGACTTAGGCAAGCTGCTTTCCATATATACATCAAGAATGTTGAAGTTGGCCAGGCGTTGGTGGTGCACGCTTTTAATCCCAGCACCCGGGAGGCATAGGCAGGTGGATCTCTGTGAGTTTGAGGCCAGCCTGGTCTATAAGAGTTAGTTCCAGGAAAGCCTTCAAAGCCACAGGGAAACCCTGTCTCGAAAAACAACAACAACAACAACAAAAGAATATTTAAATTGACTATAAAGGTGCTCCTAGCCAGGCGTTGGTGACTCACACCTTTAATCCCAGCACTCAGGAGGCAGAGGCAGGCAGATCTCTGTGAGGCCAGCCTGGTCTCGAGAGCAAGTGCCAGGATAGGCTCCAAAGCTACACAGAGAAATCCTGTCTGGAAACCCTCACCCCTCAAAAAAAAGTGCTCCTACACACAGCTCCCTGCTCCCAATGCTCTGATTAGATTAGGCCCACGGAGCAAAGTTATTGAGAGACCTCCCTTTAGGTCAAAGAATTTACCAGGACCACATGGGACTTCACAAGACATGGAATCTGGCTTCAGTTTCCCATCCAGATACAGGGAGGACCCAACACACTGTCTGCCACACCTCACCATCTGCTCCTCCCCATCTGCAGACAGCATCCCCTAGCTCACCATTTTGTGGTTTCCCAGATCACTGAAGCTCTCAGCTCAGCTCCCTGCAGCAGCAACTGTACCACGGCATACAAAACAACTGGCTCCTCCTCAAAGGGAAGCCTGAAGCCTGGTGACAGGAAGAGCCCGGCACAACTTCTGACTGGCAGGTCACATGGAGGGAGTGATTGGATAGTGAGGCTTGATTGACAAGAGCACCTCCCATAGGGTTAGAAAGTGCTTAAACAGTTATTGTGGTTCCTGGCCATTCCTCCCACACACACACACACAAAAAAAAAAAAAAAAAAAAAAAAAAAAAAAAACTTTTCTAGATCTGCAAAGGTATGCATTTCAATAGCAAGGCCCCTGGCTGGGACTGCAGACCCTTCTAGCTTCCTGGTCTCCATAGCAACTTCCCTTTGTCCTGGATATAACTGAATAGTTTCTACAACCCAATAAGCCTCTCTGAGGATGCAGCAAAAACAAATCAGAACAAAGCAAAAGGGATTAGAAACAGCTCACTTTTAATGGATACAGCCCTCCTGGATGGCTTCCAGCCTCCCAGAGAGGAGATGGGAAAGTGAGACCCGAAAAAACACAAGTCTGTTCTCTGGGGACCTGATTAAGTACTCTGTTGGAGTGTGCATGAGTATCACTGGGGTTAGGGTCATTATTTGTCATTATTTTGCTTTCTGAGATTCAGCAGGTTTTGGAGGACGATGGGGGTGGGGTGCTTGGGTGGAACCTCTACCATAACATTCCAGACTCTTTGGGTATAAGGAAGCCAGGGGCTAAAATGAAGCTTTCACCATAAGAATAATATGACTAGCTAGTTATTCAGCCCACCATTCTAGGTGGGCAGAATGATTCCCCATCCCACAGGTGGAATAGTGGTCAGAATATTCAAAATTAAAGAGAGATTTACGAACACAGAGGGAGCTGGGCATTAGTGGCACCTGCTTTTAATCCCAGAACTCGGGAAGTAGAGGCAGGCGGATCGCTGAGAGTCGGAGGCCAATTTGGTCTACAAGAGCTAGTTCCAGGACAGGCTCCAAAGCCACAGAGAAACCTGTCTGGGGGGGGGGGAGAAACACAAAGGGAGGCAGATGTAGGACGATCTCAATGAGGTGGAGGCCAGCCTGGTCTACAGAGAAAGTAACAGGAAAGACCCCAAAGCTACACAGAAAAACCCTTTATTGAAAAACCAAAAATAAAAAATAAAAAAAAAACGTACCATTCATTTTGTTTATAGGTTCGAGGGTAATACATCATGTTGCAGTTGATTTTGTCCTACCTAGAACATTGGTGACCAAAATAATGTTAAAAAGTTCATGGTTATTGGTTATTGACTGTTTTGGTTTTCTTAGCCATACATTAGGCACCCTTTATTATTTATGATTTTATACAAAAATATAATGTCCCATGAACAAATCCACCTCATATTTGCTCCAATTATTTGTGTCTGTGTTTTTTGTCTGGTTGTTCGTTTGTTCCCTCATCTCTGCTTCAGGGAATGATTTTAGACTCCCTGAATTCAGTTAGTTCCTGTGGCAGAAAAGGGTTTATTTCCCTTACAGGTCAAATTCACAGTCTGTCGTTCAGGGGAGTCTGCCTGGAACTTAATGCATAACTCTAGAGACATGAACTAAATTAGAGACTCTGAAGGAATACTGCTGATTGTATTGTCCTGCCTGACTGCATCAGTTTTATTCTTTCTTCTTTTTATTGTTTTTAAAATTGAATTTATGTATTTTTTTGCAGATTTTTTATTTGAATTAGAAACAATATTATTTTACATGTCAATCCCAGTTCACTCTCCCTCCTCTCCTCCCCTACCACCTCCCCAACTAAAGCCCTACCTATCACATATACTTTCTACTCCCCAGGGAGGGTGAGGCCTTCCATAGAGGGTCATCAGAGTCTATCATATGTTTTGGGATAGGACCTAGGCCCACTCCCATGTGTCTTGGCTCAGGGAGTATCCCTCTATGTGGAATGGGCTCCAAATTCCAAACCTATGTTAGGTATAGGTACTAATCTACCACAGGAGGCCCCATGAAGTTCCAAGTTCTCCTCACTGAAACCCACATTCCTGGGGTCTGGATCAGTCCTATGATGGTATCCCAGCTATCAATCTGGAGAAAAAGAGCTCCCTGTTGTTCAGGTCAGCTGTTTCTGTGGGTTTCACCAGCCTGGTCTTCACACATTTGCTCATTCCTCCTTCTCTGCAACTGGATTGGAGTTCAGTTCAGTGATTAGTTGAAGGTATCTGCTTCTACTTCCAATAGCTGCTGGATGAAGACATAGGATGGCAGATAAGTCAGTCATCAATCTCATTATTGGGGGAGGACATTTAAGGTAACCTCTCCTCTGATGCTAAGATTGTTACTTGGTATCATCTTTGTAGATCTCCAGACATTTCCCTAGTGCCTGATTTCTCTTCAAACCTAAAATGTTTCCCTCTATTATGGTATCTCTTTTCTTGTTTTCTTCTATTCTTCCCCTGACTCAAACTTTCTGCTGCCTCATGTCCTCCTCACCCTTCATCTTCTCCCACTTTCATTCTCCTATCTCCCTCCACCCTCCTCCCATGCTCCCAATTTGTTCAGGAGATCTTGTCCCTTTCCCCTTCTCCAGGGGTCCATGTATGTCTCTTCTAGGGTCCTCCTTGTTTACAACCTTCTCTGGCACTGTGGATTGTAGGCTGGTAATATTTTACTCTATGTCTAAAATCCACATATGAGTGAGTACAAATCATGTTTGTATTTTTGTGACTGGGTTACCTCACTCATAATGGTTTCTTCTAGTTCCATCAATTTTCCTGCAAATTTCAAGATTCCATTGTTTTTTTTTTCTGCTGAGTAGTACTCTATTGTGTAAATGTACCACATTTTCTCTATCCATTCTTCATTTGAGGGGCATCTAGGTTGCTTTGAGGTTCTGGCTATTACAAATAGTACTGCTATGAACATTGTTGAACAGATGTCCTTGTTGTATGAATGTGTTTTGGGGGGTATATGCTTAAGAGTAGAATTGATGGGTCTTTTGGTAGACTGTTTCCCATTTTCCTGAGGAGTCGCCATACAGATTTCCAAAGTGACTGCACATGTTTGCACTCCCACCAGCAGTTGAGGAGTGTTCCCCTTTCTCCACATCCTCTCTAGCATAAACAGTTATTGGTGTTTTTAATTTTAGCCATTCTGACAGGAGTAAGATGGTATCTCAGAGTTGTTTTGATTTGCATTTCCCTGATGGCTAAGGATGTTGAACACTTTCTTATGTGTCTTTCAGACATTTTAGATTCCTTTATTGAGAATTGTCTATTTAGTTCTGTATCCACTTTTTAATGGGATTCTTCGGTGTTTTGGAGACTAGCTTCTTGACTTCTCTATATATTTTTAAAATCAGCCCTCTATCAAAAGTGGGGTTGGTGAAAATATTTTGCCATTCTGTGGGCTGCTGGTTTGTCTTACTGACTGTGTTCTTTGTCTTACAGAAGCTTCTCAGTTTCAGGAGGTCCCATTTATCAATTGTTGATCTCAATGTCTGTGCTACTGTTGTAATGTTTGGGGAGCAGTCTCATGTACCAATTAATACAAAGGTATTTCCCACTTTTTTTCTAAGAGGTTCGGTATGGCTGGATTTATGTTGAGGTCTTTGATTCATTTGGACTTAAGTTTTGTGCATGGCGACAGACATGGATCTATCTGCCATCTTCTACATGCCAGCATCCAGTTATGCCAGCACCATTTGTTGAAGATGCTTTCTTTATTCCATCGTATAAATTTAGATTCTTTGTCAAAAATCAGGTGTTCATAGGTGTGTGGACTAATATCAGGGTTTTCAACTCTATTCTTTTGGTCTCTCTGTCTATTTTTGTGCCAATACCAAGCTGTTTTCAGCACTGTAGCTCTTTAATAGTGCTTGAAGTCAGGGATGGTGATGCCTCCAGAAGTTCCTTTATTGTACAGGGTTGTTTTGGCTATCCTGGGTCTTTTGTTTGTCCATATAAAGTTGAGAATTGTTCTTTCAAGGTCTGTGAAGAATTGTGCTGGGATTTTGATGGGGATTGCATTGAATGTGTAGATTGCTTTTTGCATGATTGCCATTTTTGCTATGTTGATCCTATCTATCCAAGAACATGGGAGATCCTTCCATATTCTGGTAACTTCTTTAATTTCTTTCTTTAGAGACTCAAAATTCTTACAGCACAGATCTTTCACTTTTTTTGGTTAGCATTACCCCAAGGTATTTTATGTTGTTTGTGGCAACTGTAAAGTGTTATGTTTCTTTGATTTCTCTTTCCACAAAGGTATCATCTGTATATACTAGGGCTACAGATTTTTTTGAGTTAATCTTGTATCCTTCCACTTTGCTGAAGGTGTTTATCAGCTGTAGGAGTTCCCTGGTAGAGTTTTTGGGTCACTTTTGTAGACTATCCTATGTTTGACTTCTTCCTTTCTGATTTGTATTTCCTTGATCTCCCTTTGTTGTTTTATTGCTCTAGCTAGAATTTCAAGGACAATATTTAAGAGGTATAGAGAGAGCAGACAGCCTTATCTTGTCCCCAATTTTGGAGGAATTGCCTTTAGTTCCTCTCCATTTAATTTGATTTTGGCTTTCAGCTTGCTGTATATGGTTTTTATTATGTTAAGGTATGTTCCTCTTATCCCTGATCCCTCCAAGACCTTTATCATGAAGGGGTGTTGGATTTTGTCAAAGGCTTTTTCCGCATCTAGTGAGATGATCATATGTTTTTTTTTCCTCAATCTGTTTATATGGTGGGTTACATTGATGGATTTTTATATGGTGAACCATCCTTGCATCCCTGGGATAAAGCCTACTTGATCATGGTGGATGAATTCTCTGATATGTTCTTTGATTCAATTTGCCAGTACTTTATTGAGTATTTTTGCATCAATGTTCATGAGAGATATTGGACTGTAGTTCTCTTTCTTAGTTGTGTCTTTGTGTGCCTTGGGTATCAAGGTTACTGGAGCCTCATAGAAAGAGTTTGGCAATGACCTTACTGCTTCTATTGTGTGCAATACGTTGAGGATAATTCATATTAGTTGTTCTCTGAATTTCTGGTGAATTCTGCATTGAAGCCATCTGGCCCTGGGCTTTTTTTTGTTTGTTTCTTTTTTGTT